GTCAACGCGTACCCGAATTTTGTCGCGTCCACCGTGATCCCGGCGGCGGCCTGAAAACTGCGATCAACGATAAACGATACTGAACCACAGCTCAGGATCCGCCGCCGCGAACTCGGGCATTCGCATGCCTACACGGCTCACCTCGGGGCCGGGCACCAAGAGGCCGTGCGGCTGCTCCGCCATCGTCTGTTGCATCGGCTGTTGCTGCGCCAATGGGAGTATCGGCTGTTGATGCGCTAACGGGAGTATCGGCTGCTGATCTCCGACCTGCTGCGTCGCCGGCGGCTCGGTTCCGTCGCGCGTGATCACCATTGCACTCCACACGCAAATTTATTTTGTCCCCGGATTCGACCGGACTCGCTCGTCAAAAAAAAAAATAAAAAGTCTCAAATCGCGATCACGTCGGGGTAACCACTTTGGGAAGGGCGTGTAAGAATATGTTGAGTGAAGTCTATTATAATACAGTCTTTAATCTCAGATATATCCTAAGTCGTTACATTCTAAGTCGTACCGCTCGCAAAATATTCTAAGTCCCGAAATAATCAGTTCACGCGGATACGTCTTCACTCTAGCGAGTCGCCGTGTCGAATCTCCGTCTCTCTGTTCCCGGGCTCTCGCGATCGTTTTTTTCCTCTCCGGACTTCGTGTCCTTCGAGGAGTCGCTCGTCACGTTTTCGGTCGATTTGTGTTGTTAATTATTGTTTGAGTCATGCCTGTAACCTTCTCGCTTATCGTTACCTATGTTTATGTTTTCCCTATCTAACGTCTTTCCCTATTTTTCGACCTCGCTATTATTACTTATTTTCGAATCGAGTTGTTGCGGCGGCCAAGTATATAGCGATATAACCGCCACAGTAACATAAACCATGCCCCGACACATAGCTCGTCAAAGGACGAGACAATTGTAGGTCATAAATTATAGAAGTCTGTCATCGGCGCTCAATTCTATAATATTTGTATGTCTCTTTCATGAATAATTATCGGCTGGATGTACCTCCACAGAAAAAAAAAACAAAGAATTTGTCCGTCCCTATTTTTTACCATTATTTTGAGAGATACCCCCGCCACTAATAATAGTATATCTACACATCTGGTGAAACAAATCTCAAAATCTCAGGTACTTGCACTCATGCGCTTGTGCGTAAAAGAGTTTTGACTGTTTCTATCTTTACTCCCTCTCTCTCCACTTGAGCAGCTACGGGGACGGATGTTCCTGACACGTAGGTCGTCAAAGGGTTAAGGGCCCCTCAATTATACAATTGTAGGTCATAAATTATAGCTGCCTGTCATAGGCAAGCTATTCTATAACATTTGCATAAAAAACTCTTCGATACAAAATTTCTTTGGAACGCAGACATACTCAGCTATGTATGTAATATAATATAATATAATATATGTATGCATGTATGTATGTATGTGTGTATGTATGTATGTATGTATAATACTAATGGAAGGAATATTAATCACACATTTTTGTATTTTATATTTCAAATATTTATTTATTATATAATTTTTACAAAAGTTTGCCATTTATTATTTCCCTAAACATTTTGTCTCTAAAGTACGGCATGTCATCCTGCGTAAACGTTATCTCCCTGTTTGCACAGATGTACTCGGCGAACATGCAAGAGAATACACCACAATCGCTACCGTTTGTGTGTTGCGGAATGTTCTTGGCGGAATAAAATTCCCAATCACTCATATCATAAAGTTGTTTCTTTTTGTCAAGACTCTTGTTGGGGATTCCCCCAATTTAGTAATGTAAAAATTATATCTAACCGTTATATGTACTGCGATACTTTTCGTCTGCTTCTCACGCAAAATTACGATAAGTTCGGAACCGCCGGAAGAAGCCGATCCGCGCCGAAGGCGAGCGCGCGTCAGCATCCCCACGCGGCTCGCCCGACAGCCGGCCTCTCCCTTCCAACGAACCCACCGCGCCGCGGTATATAAGCCGGCGCTCCGACAGGACCCGCACTTCGTCTTAGCTCCGGCTCTCTGCTGCTTTCGACGAAGCCTACCCCATCCAATATCCCAGGGTACACGCAAAAAAAGGTCCGGTGTTCCGAGCCCCTACTGAGGGTTCTCAGAGGGTTCCCAAACTCCATCCAACTTACTCCCGACGGCCATGGTTCAGCGAGGTTGAGCGTACTCAGCCTCGTAACGAGGGTTCTCGTAGCCATCGCCCCGGGTATTCGCACATACCGATCGCGTTTCCGCCCGCGTGCAAATGTAACATCACGGACCGCGCCGAAGGAGTATAAAATAGGATAAAACCGCGTTTCGGTAAAGTCGCTCTTTATGTAACCCCGCGTTTCAACCACTACACGCCACAGCGCGCCGAGTGCATTCGCACTAATTTATCTGTATACCTCGCGTTTCGTCAGTTTTGGTTTAGGATATCGAATAAAGTTTATATGTATTATAAATCAATTGCTATCTTTTGGGCCTTCCACTCAAATTCCTAACAAGCGATCGAGTCCGCGTTCCACTGAAACCCCGGTCGTCTCAAAGTTAAAGGGCTGAACGAAGCCATTCGTAATTATCTCGCGTTCTCGCGGAACGGATTCGGCGATTCGTTCGGCGCGTTTATTGCGCGCCCGAACATAAAATTGGTCCTTCGAGCCGGATCGAGATATTCAGTGCAGCCCTTCAGCCGTTAACATGACTGCCGTGCCGGAAGTCTCAGCTACCATCAACGACCTCCTGGCTCAACAGCAGGTGTTGATGCACTCCATCACTCGAGCGCTCGATAACTTCAAAAAACTCGGAAGGAATAACTACACCGCTGCAAAGGTCCGAGCGCGAATCGCTAGCTCCAAAGAAGTCTGGACGCAATGCCTTTGCGTGCACTCGGTCCTCCTGCAAGTTATTCCGGAGGCGAAAAGGAGCACGTTCGACTATTTTCAAAACGAACTGTTTGATCAGGCCGAGAACATCCACTTGACGACGTTGGATTACATGGCCGAATGTCTGGAGGCACTCGCGCCAACGCCGCCGCCCCTGACAGCGAACCAGGCTCCGGGCGCCGCGTGCAGTCATGGGCCGCCTGCCTCCTCATTCTCACTGGCGCATCTGCCGCCCATCAACATTCCGCCATTCTCAGGGAAATATGAAGATTGGGAGACGTTCCGCGATCGCTTTACGTCCCTTATTATTAAAAATCCCGACCTCTCTGCATTTGCGCGAATGCATTTTCTCTAATCAAGCCTCGCCGGGCGGGCGCTTGAATCGATTCGAAGCATCCCAGTAACCGCGGATAACTTTGAACTTGCGTGGAAGGCCCTTGAGTCGAGGTACGAAAATAAGCGCCGATTAGTCGAGATGCATGTGTCCGCGTTATATAATTTGCCGAGCGTTTCCCGCGAATCCGCGAGCGAACTCAGCGAGCTTCGGGATAAAGCAAATCGCGCAATCACGTCGCTGAAGAATTTAGATCGATCCGAATCCGACATTCTCAGCGACATGCTTATGTATAGCGTCACGCAAAGGCTTGATCCCGCCACTCGGAAAGCGTGGAAACTAAAAGGCGGGGATGACGCGCGAATCCCAACATTCAGCGAACTCGATCGATTCCTCGATTCTCGTGCTCGCGCGCTCGAGGAATTGCATCCCGCGAATGTAGAAAAACAAACTCGCGCGCAGAAGGCGACCAGCGCTACAGCATCGGGAGCCTCTTCACTTTCGTGTCCGCTTTGTAAAGCATCTCACTTCCTACACAAGTGTCAAGTCTTTCTGAAGAAGAATCCGAGTCAACGATTGAAAGCAGTAAAAAAAAACGAATCGCTGTGTAAATTGCCTAAGCGACAAACACGCCGTACAGTTATGTCAAAGCAAATATTCGTGCCGAACATGTCGCAAAAGGCATCATTCGATGTTGCACGTCGACTCGGACACTTCTACCACGAAAGACACTTTTACCGCGAAAGATACGCCTGCCGCGGAAAATACTTCTGTCGCGACCACATCGATCCACGATGCCGCGCCCATCACGACATTATTCTCGAGCGCGAAAGTGTCGTCGATGCCTTCCGTGTTGCTCGCGACGGCAAGGGTAAGAGTCGGGTTTCCCTCCGAATCTCCGAACGATCGTACTCGCGTCGTTCGAGCGCTTCTCGATCAAAGATCAGAGATGACCTTTATTACCGAACGATTTAGGCAAGGCTTAAGATTGCGTCGCGTTAGAATGCCCGTCTCGATCTCCGCAATCGGAGGCGTCGACGCCGGAACATGTCGATACGCGGCCGAAATTCAGATCTCGCCGATCGGCCAAACTTCTCTTGAGTTCAAGACCACTGCGTCCGTCATGACAAGTTTAACGAAATACACTCCGTCGCCCGTAACGTCGCCCGTCCAATGGAGCCATGTAGCCGATCTCGCGCTCGCGGATCCGGATCCTACAAACTCGGACCCCATTGACATACTCATCGGTGCCGACCTGTACGGCGATTTGCTGCTCGACGGCATTCGAAAGGACTCCCGCGGTCAACCCCTCGCGCAGAATACCGTTCTCGGTTGGGTGCAGTCCGGCCCCGCGGCTGACCCACAAGCTCGTCCTCGAACAGTCACGGCTCAGCACTGTTCTAATACCCCGTCTCTCGACGAGGAATTCCGACGCTTCTGGGAAATCGAAGAAATCCCTCGCGCCATTCCACTGAGTCCGGAGGAGCAACAATGCGAAGATCACTTCCTCGCCACTCATTGGCGACGCTCCGACGGACGATACGTGATTCGCTTTCCGTTCAAAACCGGTCCCCCAATCGAGATCGGTAATTCTTATCACTCAGCTGAGCGACAGTTGAGAGGTCTTGAACGCAGGTTAAACGCCGATGAGAGAGTAGCGACGGAATACCGCGCATTTATGGAGGAGTACGAGCGACTCGGGCATATGAAGCGTGTACCGCACGACGCAGACACGTCGTCTCAATACGTCTACATTCCGCATCACCCCGTGATTCGCGAAAGTAGCACCACCACTCGGTTACGGGTCGTTTTTAACGCGTTTTTAACGCGTCGAATCCGACGAGCAACGGCACGTCGCTGAATGACCACTTGCTAACCGGGCAAAAGTTGCAGACCGACTTAGCTGCAATTCTACTAAGATGGATGCTACCTCGATACGTGTACTCCGCCGACATTACAAAAATGTATCGTCAAATCAAAATTGATCCTCGTGACGTCAACTATCAGCGAATCCTATGGTTCGATCGCGAATCTCGAACCATCATCGCGTTCATTCTGTTAGTCCTAACGTACGGAACGGTTAACGCTCCTCACGATGCGCTTCGCGTCCTGGAACAACTAGTTCGGGACGAGGGAGGCTCATTTCCGTTAGCGGTTCCGGTGATTCGAAAGGGCCGGTATATAGACGACTTTCTCTTCGGAGCGGACGACATACTGCTACTTCGTCAGACGCGCGATCAAGTATGCGCGTTACTGAGTCGGGGGCGGTTCGAATTACGTAAGTGGGCGAGCAACTCTCCGCAACTGCTGGCCGACATCGATGTCGAAAATCACGGATTAGCGTGTTCAAAAACATTGCAAGCCGATGAGCAATTGAAAGTGCTCGGAATAAGCTGGAAGCCTGCCCTCGACGTGTTCCAATTCGACGTTTCGCTCCCTCCGTCCATTCCAAAGACCAAAAGATCCAGAATGGGATAGAATATCCTTGGTAGCGAAAATCTTTGACCCGCTAGGGTGGGTCACGCCCGTGACAGTAAACGCAAAGATCTTTCTGCAACAACTCTGGCAGGCGAAAGTGGAATGGGACGAAGCCATCGCGAACGACCTTCTCGTGCAGTGCAAGACGACTCACGCATCCCTGGCGACGATCAATGGTCTTCACGTAGACCGTTGGGTACGATACGGTTCCGACACGGCGAACTGCGAACTTCACGGTTTCTGCGATGCCTCCACCGCCGCGTTCGCGGCCGCAGTTTATATTCGCGTCACCTCCGTGACGGGCGAGACCACTTCCAGGCTGCTCATCGCCAAGTCAAAGGTCGCTCCAATCAAATCCTTAAGTATTCCTCGGTTGGAATTATCTGCTGCCGTTCTATTGGCTCGGCTGTTAGAATTCGTGCGATCATCGCTACAACTAACTACCATACCTTGCGTCTGCTGGACGGACGCTCTCGTCGTGCTAGCATGGGTGACTCAACACCCATCAAAGTGGAAAACTTTCGTTGCGAATCGCGTCTCAGAGATACAATCCCGCGTCCCGTTCGCCACCTGGAGACACGTGCCAACCGAAGACAATCCGGCCGACTGCGCTTCTCGCGGCATTCTTGGATGCCATCTCGCGTCCCACCATTTGTGGTGGCAGAGACCTTCGTGGCTGAGACGTCCTACGAGTGAGTGGCCCGCTCAACGCGAACCGTTGTCTCACGATACGACGCTCGAGCAGAATCCGCGCGTCACCACGCATATAGTAAAGCCGGTCGAAAAGTGGGATTTAGCAGCGCGATACTCGTCGTGGCCGAAATTACTTCGAGTCACCGCTTATATCTTTCGGTTCGCATCTCGAACTCGCCGTATCAAAACTAACGTCAACGAGGCGAGTCCGCTCGCTCTCTCCGCGGATGAGTGCCGATTGGCACGCGACTTTTGGCTCAGACGAATCCAAGAAGAAGAATTTCCCGGCGAACGAGAAGCGCTCTTGAGCCAAAAGACAATCTCGTCGAAAAGTGCACTCATATCGCTCAATCCCTTTATCGGGGAAGACAAATTAATTCGCGTAGGCGGGCGGTTAGCCCACGCTCCGCTACCACTAAACGTGAAACACCCCATCATACTCTCCTCTCACCCTCTAGTCTCTTTACTAGTCCAGCACGCGCATATAAGGTCGCTTCACGCCGGCACGCAGCTCACACTCGCTACATTACGCCGGGACGTGTGGATTTTGCGCGCGCGAAATATAGTAAAGGCCGTAATTCACCGATGCGTAACATGTGCCCGCGAAAAGGCGGCAATTCCCACTCCGATAATGGGACAGCTGCCTCTCGTGAGAGTCTCCCCTTCCGCGCGCGCGTTTCAGCATTGCGGTCTGGACTACGCGGGCCCAATGCGTGTGCGCCCGATGTCCGGGCGTGGAGTCTCATCTCATAAAGCGTATATCGCAATCTTCATTTGCATGGCCACGCGCGCCGTGCACCTCGAGATAGTGGACGGCTACTCGACTCCCGCGTTTTTAGGAGCATATTCACGGTTCTGCGCCAGACGAGGCCTCCCCGCGTCGATCTACTCCGACAACGGAACAACTTTTGTCGGCGCGGACCGCGAAATTCAAGAAGCGTTTCGCGCGGCCCTACGCGATCCGAACTTTTTAAATCGAACCGCCTCCGATCAAGTTACGTGGCATTTCATTCCTCCAGCAGCCCCGCATTTCGGCGGGCTATGGGAAGCCGGAGTTCGAAGCGTGAAGCACCACCTTCGAAGAGTAGTGGGGGCTCACACTCTCACGTTCGAGGAATTCGCGACACTCCTGTGCAATATAGAGGCCTGTCTAAACTCCAGGCCGCTTGCCCCGCTCACCGATTCCGCTGACGAATATGAAGCGCTCACTCCCGGTCATTTCTTGATAGGCGCCGCGTTAACCGCGAGCCCCGAAGCCTACGTGCTTCATCTTAATGAAAATCGGCTCTCGCGTTGGCAAGTGGTCCGTCAGACGACAGAACGGTTCTGGAAGCTGTGGCAAACCGATTACGTCAACACGCTGCAGCAAAGAGCCAAGTGGCGAAAATCTGGAACGGAGCAAATCCGAGTAGGACAGCTCGTACTCCTACAAAACCCGTTACTTCCACCGTGCAAGTGGGAGTTAGGCCGCATAATCCAATGTCACGCGGGCTCCGATAATGTCGTACGAGTCGTAACAGCAAAGACCGCAACGTCCGACTTCAAGCGGACCGTTGTAAAAATCTGCGTATTACCAATCGATATCGAAAACGCCGAAACGCCTGCGTAACTTCGTACACCATGCCCTATGCACTTATTCGAATCGCCCAAACTTAGCGACCGCCTCGAGCAACGCGTCAGTTCAGCCATGCGATTTCGAAACGAAGGTTTCGAGGCGGGCGGTATGTTGGGGATTCCCCCAATTTAGTAATGTAAAAATTATATCTAACCGTTATATGTACTGCGATACTTTTCGTCTGCTTCTCACGCAAAATTACGATAAGTTCGGAACCGCCGGAAGAAGCCGATCCGCGCCGAAAGCGAGCGCGCGTCAGCATCCCCACGCGGCTCGCCCGACAGCTAGCCTCCCTTCCAACGAACCCACCGCGCCGCGGTATATAAGCCGGCGCTCCGACAGGAGCCGGCACTTCGTCTTAGCTCCGGCTCTCTGCTGCCTTCGACGAAGCCTACCCCATCCAATATCCCAGGGTACACGCAAAAGGAGGTCCGGTGTTCCGAGCCTCTACTGAGGGTTCTCAGAGTGTTCCCGAACTCCATCCAACTTACTCCCGACGGCCATGGTTCAGCGAGGTTGAGCGTACTCAGCCTCGTAACGAGGGTTCTCGTAGCCATCGCCCCGGGTATTCGCACATACCGATCGCGTTTCCGCCCGCGTGCAAATGTAACATCACGGACCGCGCCGAAGGAGTATAAAATAGGATAAAACCGCGTTTTGGTAGAGTCGCTCTTTATGTAACCCCGCGTTTCAACCACTACACGCCACAGCGCACCGAGTGCATTCGCACTAATTTATCTGTATACCTCGCGTTTCGTCAGTTTTGGTTTAGGATATCGAATAAAATTTATATGTATTATAAATCAATTGCTATCTTTTGGGCCTTCCACTCAAATTCCTAACAAGCGATCGAGTCTGCGTTCCACTGAAACCCCGGTCGTCTCAAAGTTAAAGGGCTGAACGAAGCCATTCGTAATTATCTCGCGTTCTCGCGGAACGGATTCGGCGATTCGTTCGGCGCGTTTATTGCGCGCCCGAACAACTCTCATTTTGTAAATATAGTTTTAGCGCAGCCAGACATTTCGGATTATCACTGCCCATACTGTCGTAATAGACAATTGTCTTATCGCAAAAATCTATTATTGCAATACACCAGTGAACGTCCAAATGTACAGGCACAACCACAAGATCCTGCGCAAATATGTCCACCTTCCTAGTCCATCGCTTTAGCGACGAGTGACCGCCCGACAGAAGTTTTGGGTAAAAAAACGTGTTCATCGCGTGCACTTTCAGATACGCGTCGGAAGATGTTCCTCTGGCGAGCAGGTTCATATAAAAGTTTATCACTTCGTCGTTCAGCCAATTTGAGTCGGCCAGCGTGTAGAGATCCTTTTGCGTGAGCTTCATTACGCAGCTATTACACGAATGGTGGACGATATATGAGATGTATGTCATGCATTACATCGATTGATGACAGCGATGATCAACACTTGTTTACAGTGCGAAAACATAAAACCGGCCCGCACGACCAGTTAATAAACTTAGACGGCTGTTTCTGTGGGAATTGCAGAAAGCCATTGTATACAATATTCCCATGCAATATATATCCTATTTGCACGAAATAGGATATATGTTGCACGGAAATGTGAAGCTTGAAATATCAACGTAAGTTTTAGTTTTTAAAATTATTATTATTATTTTTAATAAACCATTAATCTATTGTATTTTATTTTTACAGTTTCAGAAGGCTGGCTGATCGTTGTGGAGGTTTTAGTTGGTAGGAGTCCGACATAACCGCCCACCCCGCCCCACAAATTTAATATCACTACCATAGTCGTAGAAGAAATTCGCCTAGTAAACAGCATCCGCAATGCAGTGATTTTAGCGTGAGATAAAACATAGATATCTGTAACCAATTTTTATAACAATATTAATTTACCGACAAACGCATTTGGCTATCGAAAAACGTTTGCTTGAAACAAAATTGTAAAAGCGTAAATTATAATAAATTGTATTGATTTTATCAATTTTTCATATGCAACATAAATTATTTTCCCTTTTCAAATTATAATCTTATTTATAATAGGCAAATAAAATAATAAATAAAGTCATACTTTGTAAAAAAAAATAATTCTAAATCAATGGAAGCAAGAGTTACGCGTCTCAAAGTAGCAATCCGGCCTCTTACGCGTCCGTTCCTGTTTTCCACTCCCATTTCCCTACTACGGAGACTCTATAGTTTAAGTCACGTAAAATATTGTTTTTTGTTGATTTTTTTTTGTTGAACGTAGACCTAGAGAAAAAAAAAGGTCTTCGACGCCATCTCTTTCTGCGTTCAACTCCATAGTTTAAGTCATGTAAATTTTTTTTAAATTAAATGATTATATTAATTAAATTAGGTTATAAATAATTAAATTATGTTATAAATAATTAAATTAGGTTATAAAAAAAGCTATGCCGGTTCTGGATCAAGGCGTGGTACTCGCGCGGGGTGCGGGGCGAGGGGATCTCGGCGGCGCGGGGATCTCGGTGTGGAGAGAGGATGACGTCATCGGCGTTGCCGCCGAGATCCCTGCGCCGCCGAGATCCCCTCGCCCCGCACCCCGCACGAGCACCACGCCTTGATCCAGAACCGGCATAGCCTTACTACTGATCGTTGGTAATACAACAGCTGCAAACTTCAATTTGTTTGCTTTTCGAATATCCAAAATTTCCTTGTATTTTGTCAACGTTGCATCCGTAAACACATTGATTTTACCTTTTGCTGACTTGCAAATCACGCAAAACTTGTTAACTGAAGCCATTATTCGCAAATAATAACACGGCGTATTACACGATACAGTACTCAGTCTCTACTGATCGATACATTTCACAGGAAACTTCGAAAAACAAAATGTAAGCAAGGAAAGAAATAGAAAAACAGACAGAAAGAGAGAGAGAGAGAGGCAGAAAAACAGAAAGAGTAAAACTTTCTCTGTTTTTCGGCGGGCTACAAACAGCCGGTGTACTCAGGTAGACAATATTTAAGGAGACTGCCAAATTGCTTTTCCGATCAACAGTCACACTAATGCATTTATAATTTTGTGCATTAAAACTGCTATCTTATTATATTTCAGCTCTAACAAATTTATTTTTCATAAAGTGTTAAATAATATCCAGAGATATGCGGGCAACGAGCTACCGGCGCGCGGCGCGCTCGTGCAGACAACTTTAAAGGGGGTGCCAGACCAATTTTCCAGCCAGTACAAGTAGCCAGACTTATTTTTTTATAATTTTATATATTTAAACTACCATCTTGACAAGTTACAGCTCTAATCAAATGATTCTACAAATCGACTTTTTACAACGACTTTGGGAGGATGCCAGACTCATTTTCCAGTGTCAGTTGCATGCCAGACTCTTCTAAAACATTTTTTTATACAAAAAACAATAAATATATAAAAGCTCAGCACTAATCAAATTCTTCCAACATAAGTGTTTTTTCGACAAAATCAAAGGCGCCGCAACGCCCATTCCAGCGAGACAGCGCAGCCAGACTCTGCATTTCATCAACAACACTATTAAAACAAGAGAAATTACTTTGTTCCTAGACTAATCAAATCGCTGACACTTTTGTGTCGCTACCTCCCGGGCTAGTAGAATCTTGCTGTATCATCTTCTGCAACCGCCATCTTGAAAGATCTTCCATCTGAAGAAACTTAAATCATGTTGTCAAGATACTCATACTTCGATAGAAACGTCTTAAATAATACTCACAATAACCTCCAAATAAGATTACTCTCTCAATTGATTCTCAAAAGACTTCTTGTATAATAATTCTTGATATCATTAAGTCATATCTAACGGATCTTGCATTCAGATGTATTAATATTTTAATACCTTAATAATGTTTTGACTAAATACTTAAAGATCTGTCAAGTAGTTATGAATTTTGCATATATATGAAAAGGATACTAATTATTTACGTTGAAAGATAAGAAACTTTAATCTTTTGAAATATTATTTTGAACGTCTTATTTATATAAATAAATGTATTCTAATATGTTAGTTTTAAGAATAATTGTTGATTAGAAAGTCATTATCTAACTCTTAATATTAAATCCCTTAATATTCATGAAGAAATATATATTAAAATCTAATTTAAAACCACTAGTTTTCTTGTCACTAAGAAATTGAAAATACTTAAACTATTTAACTATAATAAGACAAAGACATTTAAGTCAAGCATCAGTTTATTGCCTCTTCGTATAAATCTTATAAAGAAATATTCTGAAATGATTCTTTGAATTCTTAATTGTAAATCCCAAACTCAAAAACATATAACTTATTAAGTAAATATCAATATCCAAGATAACGACCTTCTTTATTTCTAATCATGTTATGTTGGAATTGTGAATTGTTTCTCATATGTAAACTATTATGACATTTATGAAAATTATATCTTTCTTCCTATAAAAACTGAGAGTTGAGAGTTATTCGGTTGTGTGTTTGTCCTTCTCTATATAGTATTCATTTTGATCAGGCTTGGATAAAGCTTGTGCAATCGGCAGTGGAAATATTTACCAACAAACCACTGTTTATGCAAGAGAATGTTGCCGTTAAGACATTGATAGGAGATGAGGATAGCTGTACGATTGCTTCAGTTAGAAAAGCAGCTTCTTTTAAGGTGAAAAAATAGTCAGATTACAATCATATAAAAAAAAGTTTTACGAGTAGTATGTATACAATGAAATTGTCTCCAGTCCTTATCGATTACTTTGGTAAAAATTTTTGCGATTGCCATAAAACGAAATAAGGGAGATGCCGTGAAGGTTGAACAATCTTTGCAAGCAGTCGTACCTCATGCATACGGTGATCACACTCTATGCGGTGATTGGTGTAAGGGTACTGTTAATGAAAATTATGTTCATAAGAATCTCCCACAAGGTAAACCTTTAACAGATCCTGATTTGAAAATTTGACTAAACAAAGTGATTTGTCGTTATGCTGCGAGCTCTGAAAAAATAGCTCAGTGTGGTTCAACTCAATCGAACGAATCACTCAACCCAATAATAGCCTCTAAAAACCTAAAGTCAAGGCATTACGCAGGATCTGAATCACTGTGTTTCCGGGTAAGTGCAGCTGTTTGAAATGGTATGACTTTTCAGCCATCCGATGCTAGTTCGCGTGAAGAATCCGAATCCCGGTTTTAAGAATGTTTCGAAAATGTGTACTAATTAAAATGAAAACGTAAATAGCTTCAAACGAAAAATATTTATTTTACACGTACTGAAGATATCTTTGTAAATTACGCAGAGCAGCAGGATGAAACGTCAGCCGAATCGGATTGTAGACAAAATTGTGTAAATATCCTTAATTAATGTTATCTGATAAAAGAATAATAAACAAACCGCAGGTTTAGTCGCAATGGACACAATACATTTTAAGCGAGTGTGATCGCTTGATATGGAAAGCAAACATATATAGTATAACGAAATATCTTAATAATATATCACACACGTAAATCTAGAATATGAGTTAGCCAAATAATAAACGCTATTGATTAGTAATCGTAAAGTAGAGAACGCAATGAAAATCGAAGGATTTAAGAACTAATTATCAACACAAAATCGTGAATGTTCTAGTAAATAACACTAAAAGAAAGGTTATCACTTGTCAAAATAAACGCAAAGAATCGGAATATCTAATTAATTCACATATCTATTTTTGGTACGTCGAAAGTCAGGACAAATGTTATAATGAAAAATATGTGATGAACGCAAAAGATATATAAAAGGAAATTCGACACGTGCCGTTCACACGAATACATCGAGATCTATAACGTAAATGCACGCCATTAACACGGAAACACCGCGTGGGCTTTTTCACGACCGAATAATATAATCCGCACTATTGAAAGTAATTCGTATAGCAGCCGTAAGACCAACTTATCCGAAGCTTGTTGGAAAGGCATTAACGAGGCGTGAGACACGCTTATCCGAGAATATTCGATCGGAAATAAACAGATGTACTTAGCATTGAGGCAAACAGCTAATTCGCCGGGCAGACAATCTGGGATGTGGCCTCGCAATCCTCGCAGGGGCAAGCGTCGTCTCGTCCTTAGCTGTGAATACGTCGTACTGCTTCCTTAACTTTATCTCCTCGGGAATGTAATTCGTCCTTTTTGTATCTTCTGTATCTAACGCACGCACGCACGGTGTAACGTTCGCATACAACTGTTCCGAAATATATCCCTTATACACCGGGAATACACGATTATGCGGACCGAGGAATTCAGCGATTCCCGAAACGATGCTTTCGCTACCGAATATTGCGACGATCTGCCGCGCGCGCTTTCTTCGCAGCAAGCACGGACCGGAATCAACAAAACACGATCGGCCTAACTTTCCTAGCCGCGCTCCCCTGGC